AAAAAAAAAAAAAAAAACACTTATCTTAGACAGAAACTTATTTTTTACATTAAATTTATTTTTTGAACTATATATAATTGCGCCACAACGATTTCGGAACGTTACGATGTAGCAACAAGGATTACCACATATAATTCTTTGTTGCCACCATGTCACATAAGAGAAAATCAATATCAGTAGGCACCTTTGTTTGGGAACTCGAAGCGCTGAATATTTTGGAGGGAAAACCGATCGCGGATATCTTTCTTTCATCTCGTTCGTGAAATGTTAAAATTCTCGTGAACGTGATTATTTCGATTTCCGGTTGGAAATGGTTAAATCACCGAGAAATCGTATATATTTATCGACGTTATAATAGTCGCCCGAAAGATCAACGTTGGAAACTTTTATCGCTGGCTTGCCATTTTTATTAACGAAAAAAAAGCAACTGAAAATATAATGTCGAATTGCAAAGCAACGAATATTCAGAACGCTCTTATCACAATAAATAAATATAATGCGATAAATATACACATCCATGCGCAAATCGGTTATCAATTAAAAAAGTCACTCGCAATCTTATGTTCTCCGGAGGAAAAGTCGCGATTATTGTAAATTGTAATTGAACGAAACAAAGTCACTTTCGTGACTAGGGAGAAGAAAACATTATTATTCATTCCTCTCCAAATAGATAAATATTCATTTTTTTTTTCTCAAGTCCTACACCGCTATAGAAATATTGCATACGTGTCTGCATTTCTTCCTTCGTTCAAATTTATTTTAGTGTATATTTTATGTAAAGTGGATGCAAAATATCAATAACAATAATATACGCATGTAACGACAAGCTGGACAATTTTCACTCTTTAAATTTTCGCGCCCGTTTCATTTTTCACTTAACAGACAATACGTTCTATCAGAAGCTAACCTAGAAAAAATAACATCTTCGTCGACGTCCGCTTGTTTATTTTGTACGAGTTCTACAATGTAAACAATAGTAAAATAAAGAACGATGCTACTTCGAGGTCGTTGTGACAAATATATACTTTCCCTTTTAGAAACAATGTTCGAGGGCAATAAATCAAAGGAGATGCATTTTTATCACGCGATGAATTAGCAACAAGATAATTTAGAAACAGTGACCTAAATCTACCGTTTCATGTTCATCGTGTGCTGCACGATCATTTAGAACCAGATAAACTACGTTATCGCACGCAAAAATATATATTTTCATATTGAATATTCCATATCGGACGGTTGAACGTTTATATTTTTGTGTTATTTGTAATACCTTTATTTCATATGAAAAATGTTACGATATTTTGCAAGCATATTTATTAATTAGGAGAGACAAAAAAGGAACAAGAAGGGGGAAATCTTTAACAACAAATGGTAACACGTAAGAAATTGTGAATTTCTAGTTAGCTTTTCTCTTTCGTTCGAGTTCTACAATTTACAATGGATGACAACAGGTTAAGCAGCCGACGGTAGCTATATTCTATCCGCAATGGCGGTTGCAAGCATATAAGCATGCATTCATAACAGGAGGAACACGACGACTCGCTTGGACGTTTTAATTGGCAGGCTTCGATTCATACCGAATAATTCGGAAACACGTTGCAGCGATTAATTTGAAAATAATGACCGTGTGACTCAATCGGAAAAAGGAAGGATTTAGATTATTAATAAATTTTAATTAAAAATTTTCAATGTGAAAATGCTCGATCCTGAGGGATATGCCAATCAGAAATAATGTTCTGAAAAATTTTGTTTTCAAATATTCGATTAAAATTTTCGTGAGAATCGAGAATATTCCAAGGGATACGCTGACCAAAAAACGATGCGCTAAAAAATATTTAATGACGAATAAATAAGCACAAAGTGTAATTGACGAGAAAAAATTAACTGAAAAGCTAATTTGTTACTTTTAATACTAGAACCACCAAAGATTAGGGGAATTAGCGAATCAACGAAGTCAGAATGATAGATAAATAAAACGCAAAAGAAAAAAACGAATTCTATCAAAGATCATTCAAATCCCGCTGTAAGAATTACTAGGAAAAATTATCAATTGATCATTTTGATCCGGTATCGATATTCTAGGATTTTAGCAAAAAATAATTTTGATCAATCTAATCTAAAAATATCTAAAGTACAATGTACACGATAAATACATGTTTGTGATGTTATGTGTATTATAGAAAATAGAAAACGAATTCGTCACAGTGAAATGTAAATTAAACTAAATTTTGTTTGTTAAATATTACAAGGAATGCTTCTTGTATAGATAATTTCTTCACTCCTAGTATTAAAATATCTAATTTTCCTTTTTTTACATAATACCATGCACATTGTTGCACCTTCAAATTTTCTATGAATGAATAAATAATCCATGATCTAATCATGAGAAGCATGTGAATAGATAAAGCTATTATGCTTACACGATCATGCTACTGTTCAACATGCGAGTGCAATAATGTTTCAATTCCTTTTGCTCATCACGTATATAAATATATACATATATACACACATGTGCACACGTGCGTATATACATATATATATATAACATGTATACACTACACATGTCCTCGAAAGTTACGTCGAAATTGGCCTCCTCGTTACATAGGTTATTCTTGAAGAGATGTTACGTCGTTACGCATTACCACGCAGATGCGTGTTACATGTTACAGCACGCGCGTGTCAACGACACAAAGAAACTCGAGATAGACCCTTCTGTTATTCTTTCTTTCACATCGATATCAAACTCGATCGCGAGAAACATTTTCATTCATGCAGCCTCGAAACTGATTTATAGTTTCCAAATTCGAAGAACAATACTTTTGTATGCTTTGTAAGCAAAATAATCATGATCTTGACTTGTACATGCACACACACATCTGTATATATGTATATATAATGAAAAAAAAAAGAAAAAAACCATGTTCAACTTTCTCTATTAAAAAAAAAGAAAAAAGAAGATAATGTGGATTTCGTAATACAAAACGAGGGTACTAGACAGTATTGTATTTTGTAAGTTAACCACGACACGACAAATCGATGTATCTGACACAAGAGTCTATACAGTGTCGCGTTAACTGGTCAGAATTTTACTTCGTTAACTGTCCGTTTCCATCCCCACCACTTTGTTCAACTGACTTCCTGAAGTGAGCCTCTAACATTGCGTGAAATAAACAAATGTATTATTGTATGGATATCCCAAGTTTTTTTTACCTAATAATAAACAAAAATAATGGACATTTTATACCGGCCCAATAGGTCTCGTCTTGGTGACCAATTAGCGGAACAACTGTATCACTCGCCATCTCCTCTACCGTACGAACGAGTACATTGATAGAGAATAGAGATAACAGGCAAAAGTGTGTGTATAATAGTATACGGGATTGAGAGATTGACAGATAAACTCACTCGTCTCCATCTGGACATATGCCGGTAGTCTCGTCGTACTTGGTGCAATAATTATCGGCGCTATAGTTGAAGGTGCGGTCCCTCTTTCTCACCGGTCTTCGCCTCCGCTGGTTCATAAAGTGCCAGTTGAAGCACGTGAAGGGTCGGTGCTGTGTGCATTTGCGCTGTATAAAGAGGGGACATTGTTCGACGCGAAATTCCTTCAAGTATCTGGAATGCGAATCCACAGAGCTACACATTATTTCGTGGCGTATTTTGACGCGCGCGTCGATGCCGCGCTGCTGTGCTCGCGCGGCCCTCCCTCTTTTATTCCGTTCTTTCTCTTTTCTTTTCTCTTTTCTTTTTTTTTTTATATATATTTAGTCTATTTTATATTTTACTGCATACGAACGTATTATCGTATTACATGTACTTTTTTCTCATTATTATGTTATATATTCTCGTTAGAATTATTCTCTCTTCTATCGTCAAGCACTCCACTTTTTTTTAATTATTATTATTATCATTTAATTTTTATCCGAATCACGCACTTTTTTCTTTTCTCTCTTTTTTTTGGTACTCTCCGAAATTTTATCTTTCTTTTTTTATCCTCACTTTTTTCTTTCACGTAGCACGCGCGACCGGCGCTTACTTACGTGTAATGATTCGCCTTTTCCGCCTGAGCTGTCAACAAAGGTTTAGAGTCGGACTTCATCTTGGATAACACAACCGAGCAACGCGCGCGCACACACAGATGGGCCAAGCACACTCTCTCCTCCCGTTTTTTCTCTTGTCGTCCTCGTCGCCGTCGTGCCCGTCGTCGTCGTAAGCCGTCGCGTAGTCTGTCTTTCGCCCCTTTTGCCCCGCTAAACTCTCTACAATCTATCGGACACGGAATGCGGGACATAGGGCGCGCACGGCGCAATACACATTATATGCGTCGAGACTATCCAATCCTTGTGCTTTCTCCCAGTCACGTGACTGTTCCTCTTTCAAGGTCATTGATGTTTTGGTTCGCTCCTTGTCGTAAACACGCACTCGGTGTACGATGCTCAGGCGTTTGCAACGAAAATTTGATTCTTTTTTTCTTTTTTGTACCGTTTGTCGATTCCCTTGTCGATCCGTTTTTTTTTTTTTTCTTTTTCTTTTATCAAACCGATTAATTATTTTTGAACGCAACAACCAGGTTCTTCTACGGAAAGGAAAAGAGTATCAAGAACGTAACGATCGATTCCTAAGGCTCGACCTCGATCGAGTTCCGATTCTGTACTACGTTCTCACTGAAGCTGATTCGGCATCGTGTAACCAAGCCTTCTGTAAATACCGATTGCAACTCATTTTTCATGTTTTTTTTTTTCATTAATAAATATGATAATTGTAAACGTACTTTGTTGCTTCGTACAATGAAAATTCTCTCTCTCTTTTTTCTGTTCTTTAGGTCCAAATACACTTCTCATATATGTTTCATCATCGTGCGAGTGTCCAAGTACCAAATACCAAGTATCATTGAATTCCTTTCTTGTAGCACATAGGTTCTGGATTATTTTTTTTTTACTATTATTCAAAAGTACCTTACATTCGATATTCAATATTTTTTTTTGTTTTCGGAAAAATATACGTACAAGATGTGATAAAAATTGTAATACAATAAATTATACTTAGTGATCTTTAGTCAGTAAATACTTGCTTTAATACGTGTTACATTGCGAAATGTAAAATCATAAGTGACACGCGTGAAAATGTCCGGCCTAGTTGTTTCGTTCATCACAACTTCATGTCGGTGTGATTAGGTGTACATATATCGATTCGTTTGTGACGATTCTGGCTCTGTCCACACTCTCACTTTCACTTTCTCTACATCATACTGATTTTATAGCTACTGTTGCTTCTTTGGTCACTGATCTTACGCATTTCACAACTCTCCTCCGTGCTTCTCTCAACGCACACAATACTTAAAAAGACGTATATATCACAGGCACGTTCTAGCTAGTCGCTAACGTAACTCGTTATCGTAAAGGTTACGCGTATGAATCATTTTTTATCAGCTCTTTACAACGATTTCGATGCATATTTAGATACCTGTGTTGAGTATGGTCAAGCTTCATCAGTTTTTTCTTTGACGACGATCATCTAAACTTGTCCGACCACGTTTCGTGATTTGTAAACCGCGATATGCAACGTTTAACATCGCCTTTCGTCGCGCATCGCCGAGACTCGCTTACTTCCCCCCTCTCAAACGAACGACATACCAAAAATTTTCTATCTTGACGTCAATAAAAGTTTCAATCTCCTTCGAACGATTTCGCGCGACAAATTTTAATTCGTAATTTTGCGAGTCTTCCTTCTTTTCGTATGTTTTCGTTTGGTTTGCAACGAAATTTATATCAGATTTGCAATTTCCGCTTAAACGACACATATGAGGAAATACATACCAGTTCTCGGAGCATGCGCGGTTACGCGAGTGTGTGTTGCGAACGACGCGATTTCGACCAATCGCGAAACTAAACGCGCAATAAATTTTATTCACATATGCCAATAATTTATAACGATTTATTTCATGCACAGATACGTTCTTTTTTGAACGAAACAACTTCTTTTCTGTTTCTTTTTGATTGAAAGTAGAGAAAAGCACATTATTGATGAGAAAGTACCTATAATGAAATATAAAATCAATGTTTCTGAAATAGTTCATTTTTGATTTACTTGTTTCTTCAATATTGAATTTAAGATTGTATTATACATTATAATTAACATATATATAAATATATATATATTAATTATTGTATATGTACATTATAATTGTATTATTAATATAATAATAAAATTATAATTAATATATTATTACTGTTCTATTATATTCATTGTATATCCATTTTTTCGTTGCATTAATATAACAATACTTTTAATTTCATAATTTTTACAATTCTTCTTTAAAGCTTATCTTTTTCTTTATTATAAACGTTTGACTTAAAGAGGATGAAGGTATTAAAGTATAAGATTTTTTTTTATCACACTTATGTTTAATGTATACAAAAACGTAAGGAAGTACGATAATATTAAGAAACATACGTACAACGGTTTAAAGTTTGCATCGAAAGGAAATTCTTTTTTTTTTCTAGTGTCACGACAATTGATATAAATAATTATTCGTGATAAAAAAAAAGAAGAATCGTCGTAGGTGAAATTTTTAAATAAATCGTCACGAAATATCGCTAATATGTTACATTATGCAATTATGATATATATAATCATAGTTTTGTACAGCTTTATACTCGAATGAGAATAAACAAAAAAAATAATACGTATCGACGAAATGTACGAGAAGCATCTAAACAATAGATATAAATAATAAATTGTTTTGTAGTTATAATCCATCTACGTACAATTTTAAATTTCTATGTAAATTTATTACAGCTAGTTACGATTTCAAGTTTCGTTATTGGTTCCGATATAATATTGCAAATGTATATTTTTTCTTTTTTTTTTTTTAATTTATCGTTCTTTAACTTATCTGACTTTGTACAATTACGTTCTTGTTCACTACATATTTAAATAAAGTCTTGTAGTACACTAACATACCTAGACACAAACTAAATGTGAACCATTTATTAGACTGATAAAAATATAATGCTTTCACAATATATGAAAATAATACACATTTGGTTTGTACGTACGCATGTTTGATTAATGCTACATTCATTGATACAACGTTTCCCTACAATTTTTTAGATCTATTGTAATACGTACTATCGATTTTCGTTTGTTTACACATTTCTCATTTCTTCTTCTTCTTTCTTTTTTCTTTTTATAAGAAATAATTATTTGAGTATTTTATTCCAATTTTCTTTTCTGAACTTATCTTGGGAAAATTCTTTGAAATATTGAAATTTTCATAATTTAGTTCTGTATAAATTTAATTCTATATTGCTATTGCTAAAGTGCATTTGATAAATTGTCATTAATTCCTCTAGAAATTATGATCCAGAGAATTAGCTAGTTTCATCGTTATGTTGTACAGTTTCATTTAAATAGAATAAAATAATGTTTAAGCAATAAATGAATAAATATGTATAACTAATTGAAGCTAGTATAATAAAGTAATGTTTAAAAAAGTTTTCCATCGATGTTGTCTTGTACCAATTTTTTACAACAAACAATATTACACACGCGTACATTTTCATTAAAATAGGTTTCTTACTTTTATATATTGCATTATTCTGTTTGCCATCAGACGTACTTAGGTTTTTACTAATTTTGAGCACTCCTTGGATGGATATTATGCAATTATTAATTAACTGTATATAGTCATTAAAAACCATAACAGTATTTCTCATTGGATGTTTTTCTTTGGATGGACTTATGCATTATAATAGTAAATTTCAAGGCAATTCTAAAAACGTGCCTTCTTTTTTTTAAAAATGGAGCGCTTAGTCTCTTAACTATTACTTAATTCAGTTTGACAGCAAACAAAAACTGGTCAAAAGATTGTATAATCGTTATTACTTAATATTTCTATGGTTTACGACACCTACAGTTAAATATCTATTATAAATATTTTTATCGGATTTTAGTGAGTATTTTTTAAGGTTCCAATTAGTATTTTGTAAAATGCATTCCTTTTTTTTTTTTTAACACAGACAATATTTAAATATGCTCAAACATTAGTAAAATGATGTATTTAAAATTCTGTGCTTCCTGATGCAGTCCTAGAATGTTGTAATCTAAATGTAAACAGTTTCTTGCAGTGTATTGCAGTTATTATCGTTAATACATTTTACATTGTGCGATGTCGAATTTACATATTTTAATTAATACATTCGAATGTTAAGATTGTATAATATCTTTCTTTCTTATCACTGAAAATTCTTATTTTTGTAACATGTCTTGATACTCTCAATACAATAAAAGATTAAGAATTAGATATTCCGTAATGTATGATTATAGCTGAATACACTAGTATTTTTTTTTAATAAAATATAATAAAATCAATTTATGTACACATTAATATTGATATTAACAAAAAAAGTGTAACAAAAAATATTTTAAAAAAGTTTAAATTAAAAGATTTATATAAAATAAGATTATTAAAAGATTTGTTCAAAATAAATACATAGATTATTAAAGTCATGTATAATGAATAAGATCCAATTAATAATTCATAAGTCTGAATAGTTTTTCAATAAAAACATGCAAAACTGCGCTTGCATATACTTAGGAAGAAATAGTACAAATAAATTCTGAACTGTCTCGAACCCTTTTACTGTCAGATTACACGATATACTGGCAGCTTGAAATTTTATAAACAGTTTATAATGAAACAACTCTATGATATTATTTCATGAATTATGTAAATATCGAAAGAGAGCAAACTTTTATGTATTCTTTGAATGGCCTTTAGCATGAACAACAAGAAAATGTATTTGAATTATTATTACATTAACAAGTTTATTTATACAGTTAACTACCTATATACAATATATCAATAAGAATGTTGTATAATTTCTTTAACATAGATTTAAAGAGGATTTTTTTTTCAACGGCGTTGGCCATTCATACACTAACATTCTAATTATTCGATTCTGCTAATAATTTGTATACATAAAAATTATGAATCTGTAATGACATCCCAGACTTTGCAGATGAGCATTTTATGTACTTATTATTATATCAACCATGATGATTCATGTAAGTTTTAATAGAAATTAATATCTTTAATAGTGACCACTGATTAATTAATCAAGGATTAATTCAGAGCATGGACTTACAAGACATCTGATTAGGCACAAAAGATGATGTTTTGTAGTTGCAAATGATATTGGTATGCTGATAATTGTACATAATAGTATACAGATATATATATATTAATGTAAATTCTGTAAAACATTTATCTTATACTGTTTAGTAAGTTTATTTTGTCTATGTTTGATCTTGTTCCGCGAAATATTAAGATAAAATGATTTTGATAATGTGCTACGATAGGCACATAGTTACACCATTTCTGAAATTTTTTATATATTTTTATACACATTCTGATGTGTTTTTAAAACGATGCTTACTGGAATTAATAAGACGTTATTCTAATTAAAAAAATTTTTCCTAGTCTTAGCTCTCGAATTATATTTTCAAGTGCAACACTGCATTTATAATAATCTTCCGAATTTGCGGCCTCTAACATCAGTTTCTTTCTTTCTTTTTTCAGACAGAGTTTATTTCAAACGTTTGAATTAAAATTCGTTTGACGAAGAAGAATTTTACTTAATCTCTAGCTCAACGTGATAAAAGCCAAACGAATAAATGCGAACTTAAAAAAAAAAAGGAAATACAAACAAAAGATCTACTGGCATTTGCATAGTTACACTTATTTGTTTCTACTCGCACCTATTATGTATAATATATTTACCTGGCGTAACAGTAAACTCAGTTCAAACAGTTGTTCCGTACGTACTGAACATCACTCTGGTGGTATCTGTGTCCAGAGTAACGTCTTCTGGAGATGCCAGATCAACTTTTATAGATCCAGAATTGTTCCTTCTTCTCGTCATACCACCACCCCAATTCGATAGCGTCCAGTGATAAGTTTCACCCTCCTTATCGATATTTGTCGTTTCCTGTGTCTCATTATCTTTGTCCAAGCCAGTTTCAATAGAAACCGAAGAATGCGAAGCTACCGAATCGAAACTAGAATCTGCAGCTCCCCTGTAACGGCTAACATACTCGGTGGACATTTCACCAGGCGACTCTTCGATCGCTTTCAATATATTCTGACAAAGTTCCGAATCGAGGGGAATCGGACTCTCCGAGTCGCGATTATGAATGGTAACAGCAATGTGTGCTGGATGTGGAATGGGAAGCGGAATGAGCAACTTTTCTGCACTGTAAGGACGAATTTGTCGCTTCCACGGCTGCCAACGTGTCTCTGTTGTGCCACTTGTAGATGTTGTGCGTCTTCTGATTTTCGTTGACGTTAAAAGTCCTCCAGTATCACTAAAAATACAAACGATTCTTTAAATTCTATTTCACAAGCTGATTGCGATAACTTTCCAAATTCTAATATTATAATAATTGTTGTAACAACGACAAAAATTCAGAATATCTTTTACCATCGTTTATCAGATTTTCTGCTGTTACTAGTCTGTTTGGCTCGTGGATTGAAAGCTGAAACTTCTAGATAAGGGCTATAAACTTGTATATTTCCACGGGGTGCGTAAACCGCACCAAGCAAATCCGGCCCGTTAGTCCCACCGATTTCGGTGCTATGAACCATGTCTGTGTAACGCGACAAATCGACTCCCGGATGTGGTTCCAGTCTGAATTTCGTATCTGCATCGTCGAGAGGCTGAAGGAAATTTAAACTAAAAATGTCTGCGTACATGAGGCCAGCCAAACCAGCCCAGTCACCGATGCTTAAACCTTTGTTCTCCCAGAAATCTTCCTCGTTTCCTGATAATCTTGCGAACACATGACTAGGATAAAGGCGTTCCAGCATAAGTGCCCCTTGTTGTATCACCACCTTAAAGACAAAATTATATATATATAAAATTTCGAGTTATTATCAAATGATTGAGAATCAAAGATACTTTATACTTATAATAATTACCTTCAAATCAAAGGTAGTAAGCTTTATTTTACTTCTCACGACCATTCCGAGACCAGTCTGCAAATTTTTTCTACGCCTATCTAATTTTTCGTGTAACACGGCTATCAGATCTTTGGCTTCTTTCTCCAACGATTTGTACGGATCTTTCATTTTGGCAAGGCTAGCAGCGAACGGACCAAAACAAGCTTCTACGAATTGAGTGAAGTCCCTCTGAGGTTGGGTAATTAATCGTTCTGTCTCTTGCTGAAAGGCTAACAATTCGTCTAGCTCTAGTTTTGCTTCGAACGCAGCTAAAGCTTGCTCAGGCTTAATCTATGAGTAAAAACGAAATATGTAATAGTAATTGTAGTTATTTTAATTTAGATTAATTTGCGATGCTTACTTGATAATAATAATCAGAAGTTAGTCCTGGTCCAGCTATTCTTTTAACCACAAAGCTATCACTGGCAGGTATGCGACCTCTGTTTTTTATTACTAAATGGAACATAGTCGTGTCCCAGACCACTCTAATCCAATAACGTATCACAGCAACTATATACAATAGTAATACATTACAAATATCTAAATAATTAAATTAATCGTGTAATCCATAATGAGAACGTTATACTATACCTGTAAGTATCACAAAAGAAATAATAGGACACAAAATAAGAGCTACAATTAACGCGGCGATCGGTTGCAGACAGCCTTGTATACCGATATTCCAAACTAACGCTTCCATAATGACCAAATATCGATTTCTACTTGATTCTGGGCTATCCAAATCCATTATGAGAGCCATGAATGCATGCAACGCTAAAGTAATCAAAGGCATCCTAAATTAACAAAACGAGGGAGGGGAGGGGGGAAAAGAAGAGTCATTATTAACATTTTATAATTAAGATACATTAAGACGTGTGACAACGTAATCAACGAACCATAAAACAGCAGTAAGCGCAATAAGAAGTGATCCTAAACTGGTGACTATACAAACGACAGGAAAAACAAATAATATGATGAGTGTTCCTAAGAGACCTTTCACACCATAATTCCATAATCTATTTAAATGTCTTGTCATTCCTTTTCCAATAAATCCTGCAATAAAAGACCAGATTATTTAACCGACTAAATATTACATAATCACTTAATATTTTAATTATTGGTACTATCAAATATACCAGTGTCCGGTTCCGTTTCAAAGTGTGTCCGGCTTTTGCTAATATGTCTCCAAAGTGCTATCAACCGAGAACAAAGAGTAGGCATTTGAGATGACTTTCTAGGAAACAAGGTTCCATTCAATTGACTCAATTCTAGATCGGGAGTAAAGGGTTGTACGAGTAGCAAAGCTCGTATGGAGACCGGACTACACCACGGCACTGCCACGCCTAATAAAAACATTGCATTCCAAGTCCAACACCACGTCCTGGCTACGTAGTTAATCCAACGCCACATAGGCCACCTGTTTATAAATCTCAGAATCAATTAACACCGGAACAGAATAGTAAATTACCTAACGTTAATTATTATTTCGTTATTTAAACGTGCCTTGTTGTAGTTGTGTGTACAATTTCTCTTTCAACTAAAAATACAGGCTGACTCGGATCTGCGCGAGGTGTCGTGATGGATGTCGGAGTGTTACTAAGAACCGTTGGTATGATCTCAGATTGGCCTTGAAAATTGCGTCTGATGATCCAGTTTTTTGGAAGCCATATCTGGGTTGGCCACTGGAAGCTCCTTGTCGGTGTTTTGACTTTGCGCAACTCTTTTAACAACACTGGCTCACGCTGAGAGAAACGAACATCTCCCAACACTCAAACGTACAAACGTAAAAGTGTTTATAACAATCTATAAATCTACGTACCTCTTTCATAAAAGTTAAATCGCGATTAAGAAAGTAGACTGTTTGCTGTAAATTTTGATGAGTGCACAGTGTGAGAGCTTCTTCGTGTGCGCTCCACTCGCACTCTTCGATGAACTTCTCCTCGACCTCTCTCATTCTATCGCGCATCCATGGTTCTATTCGTGACAGAACTGGATGCTCGTTCTCTATATGGCGTTTTAGTGCCTCTTTCGTTTGCAGTAGCTTACGTTGTACAGTTTTCACGGCTCGATGCATCAGTACGACCGATTGTGCTTGTTGAACCAACAATTGAGCGATTCCGCTACCAAGATCAAGTATATCTGGATGCGATAAAATATTGGAGAACACTCGTTGCAAGTATTCTCGCATAACAGCTTCGTTCACTTCCTAAAAGTAGTCGCAAAATAATAAGAATCTCATAAATTTATGAAAACTTCACAGTGACTAATATCAGGAACAATCCTTTTACCCTTTCTATTTCTTCGTCCGGTTTTTTCCGCGCTCTCAACTCAGATATCAGTCTTTCTCTGAAATGAAGAAACCAGCCTCGTGTTTCTCTCTCCAAAATAGCAACTAGGATCGGCAAAGCTTTTCTGATAATGTCTCTGCTAAATAATCTAAGGTCGACAACTGCTCCAGCAGGCGTTCCAAATACGAAAGGAACTGGGATAGGTAGTAGTTGCGACAATTCTCTCTCCACCTCGAATTTCTCCATCGTCGCTCGTCGAAGCTGTTTCCGCACGAAACCACACAGAAGCTCCAGGGAGTCTTCATACTCAGGCTGTAATTTGTAACGAGGTTTGTGAAAATCTTAGGAAACAATTGTTCCCTGTCTTTCAGAGAATACTGTCTGATATTATAATGTTTATAGTTTTACTTTCTATCTGTAATTTCTATCAGTCAAGAACTTTGTTGAGAAACATGCGACAGAAATAAATATTTTAAGAAATATGTCCAACTTACTCTGCACACTAATTCGGCAACCAAATATCGACACCGTTCCTCCCTGATTTTGGCATCCAAATTATGCGCTTGAAGGGATGGCACGCCAATTATTATATCTAAAAGATAATAACATTCAATTGCTAACTTAAGTTAATTGATAGACAAAAAGAGAACTTCCTTGAAATAACTTTTTTCAATGAATTCGTACCAAGAAGCCGTAGCAGCCCTGTCAGTAACGCCTTCAGAGATTGTGAAACACTGAAGCAGTGGGAGACTAGCCTGGCTTTCGCCGTGACTACGAGGAATCTAGTCGCTAAAGCAAGATCCCGGAGCAGAGCGTCTCGCCTTCTGTCTCGTCCACGCTGAAGGAGACCACTCAATCTCCATCGGTGTGTCTGTCCAGCGAAATTGATCGAATCCACCTCAAATTCCCTGAAAGACAAATTCTTTATTAGTATGATTGGATTTGGAATAGAAGGGGGGGAAAAAAAGTATATCGACAAAATCCAGAAACAGAATGTTATGTTATATATATATGTATATAAAAAGAAAAATACATTTAACATATACACGTATATAGAGAACAAAAATATCCTGGAAAATGTACATGTAGGGCTGTTCCAGTGAAACGTTCCAAAAATTTTGCGTCGTTGCAGTGTCTCTAATAATATGCAGTGCACAACTAATGAAAAAAATCTTACACTTTCTACTCCTTGTTTATGAAACTAAATCTACTAAAACTTGTTCGCTATGATACAAGCATATTTTAAACTCTCTAGAAATTAAACAACACAACCTACACCGTACATTAATTGTGCTTTAACAGCTAAAATTTACATCATGCTGTGATTGCTTGGGTATTATTTGTTACAAGCTCTGTGC